CACGGCTGGAACCTGGTGAACAGAGGTGCGGGGACACGGGGGAGAGAAGGAGCGTCCCAGGCCTGGCTTGTACCAATGCCGGCTTTAAAGCTGGTATCGGAGCTCGCATCGGAGCTGGCACAGAGCAGGGGAACAAGCAGCAAGATGTGAGAGCTGAGGCGGGGAAGCATTTGAGCCCCAGCACGATTAGGAACACTTGCATCGGAGCTGGCACAGAGCAGGGGAACAAGCAGCAAGATGTGAGAGCTGAGGCGGGGAAGCATTTGAGCCCCAGCACGATTAGGAACACTTCAGCCTGCCTGGCTGCTCTCCTACCCTCCACCCCCCAGCACACAAGCCCTCCTCTCCCTCTTGCCATCCTCTGCACCTTGCCTCCTTCCCCAGGGAGCTCAGGGGATGCCAGCAGAGATCTTCAGCAAAGTCCTCAGGGTTCTGGATGGGCTACTAACATCCTGCGGACAACCAGGACTCACCTTCCCACCACGGGGTGGGCAATGAGCACCGTGCCACAGCACCGCAGGGCATCGCTATCGGCCACTTTTGCCTCTGAGCCTTGACCCTCCCCACCCTGCAACTCCAGGCTGCAGCCGGCTGGAGAAGAGAGAGTTGGAGCCGTGTCCGAAAGAGGTGGCGAGCAGAGGTCTGGGTGCACGGGGGGCTTTCCTCAGGCAGCACAATCCCCACGCTGCAGGCGAAGTGGCAGCAGGGAGGGATTCTCCTCGCCACCTCGAGAGCTCGCCGTACCTGCCTGGGTCACGGGCACTAACCCACAATCGTATACCCACAGATGCGAGCGTAGCTTGTTGCACACCAGTGGATGCTTCCCAGGAAAGGGAGCAAGGCAAAAGATGGGAAAAAACAGGTTAAGTGGATCTCCTTACCTTTCTTCACCTTCTTTTCCTCGTCTCCTTCTCCCGCACCCAAGAGAGTGAAGATGATTCCCGTCTGGGAGTTGATACCCACGGCAGTCACCACCATCCTGCCGGAGCCCTCCATCACGTGGGTACCTGGCACAGCAGGAAGGCCACGGTGAGACAGGACACTGGCACTCAGTTCTCATCTCCTCCCTACCACTGGTACCCAGGAGCAGCCATCTCTCCGTCACAGCACAAACCCGTCCCAGCCCTGCGCCCACCACGCGAGAGCTGCCCAGGATCCTCACCTGACAGCAGCATGGGGTCTTTATCCAGCGATTTCTTGACTTGGTCTGACTCCCCGGTCAGCGAGCTCTCATCTATTTTCAGGTCATTGCCCTGGATCAGGATCCCATCTGCTGGCAAGAGATCACCTAGAAGAAGACCAAAGAGGGGGGTCAGCCCCGGCCCAGGCAGCCGCAGCTCACCCCTGCCTGCCCCATCCCGAGAAGAGGCTTCGTGTGTCAGCAAAAGGACTCAAAACTCAGTCTCAGACCGAATCTAAAGTGAGAAGAAGCAACAGATGGGTATTGTAAGACAGATGGGTATTATAAGATGATATCCAATAGCTCCAAAATCTTCACTGATTTACGAAAGCATCCGTTGTGAGGACTTTTGCTCAATCAGACAGTGCTTCCCCCATCTGGTTTTACTGAATCAACACCACATCCTTCCCAAAGCCTCCTGATACATCCAAACCGTTACAGGATCCCATCATCCACCTGCCGAGGAAGGAAAAAGCCCTATGTAAAAATGAACACCATGGTGGACCAGTCTCCTTCCTGACGGGAGCTGCATGGGATGAGCATACCACCTGGTAAACAAGAGGCAGGACCTAGTTTAGCCCAAGGGCTATATCTCCTTGCTAAGGAAACGTTCACCAACAAGGACATGGTTGTGAAAAGTGAATCATTTTTGAGACCAGCAGGTTGCTAAAGCAACCCAAAATTGTGTGCGGAGCCTGGCTTAGCTCTGCCAGCCCAGCTCCAGGCTGGCACGCAGCAAAGTGAGCAGAGCTCCATCACCTGCACAGGAGCATCTCCCATTGCTCCCGGCCATGGCATGCTGCAAAACAGAGGAACTGGGGGAGCCAACGCTTCCCCTTAAGGCAAAAGGGCTGGCAAAGCAGAGAGGAGGAACTGCCAGGCTCCCGAGGTAGAGGGACAGACCCCAGCCACCGCCGCCTCCACTCACCGTACTTGATCTGCGCGATGTCTCCCACCACAATCTCAGCCACGGGGATCTGAATCACTTGCCCTTTGCGGATGACCGTGAACTTCTGCTCCTGCTCAATGCGGCTCTGGAGGCCCCGGAATTGCTTCTCCTTGCTCCAGTCATTGAAAGCGGTCACCAGCACCACGATAATCACGGAAAACAAGATAGCTGCCCCCTCGATCCAGCCGGCCTGCGACTCGCCCTCGTCCTCCACGCCACCGGTTGACTGGCCGCACACTGCAGTTGGAGGAGAAAACTCATTTGCACAAAGCGACACCTGCTTTCCTCCAAGTAACGTGCACAAAGCAGAGCCTGGAAGACAGTTACTCCTCCCTCCTCCTCCTCCCTGAGCTGGTCCAAGGGCTTCCCCTGCTCTCAGGAGAGGGTTTTTACATCCCTAGAGGCATTCGTTTTTTGGTTTTTTTTTTTCCCCTCCCCTCTTTTTTTCCACTTTTCTTTTTTGGCAGAGGTTGGGCTGAGCGAGCTGGGACAACTGGCTTCTATTTCCAGTTGCAGCACCCAGCCCTCCCTCCACTGCGTGACCCTCGAATGAGTCACCGTCTCCCTGCATCTCCAGATCCCTGCCCCTGCTTGACTCCTCCAACACAGAGAGATTCAGGACCGGGGAGGAGAAACTCGCCCAACGCTGTCGCTCAGCCACACACGGGGTATCACGGCGACAGACAGCCTTGTCCCTCCATGCCCAAACCAAAAGAGAAGCCCCATGGGACTTGGGAAGTCACCAGAGCAGATGGACCCCTCAGTCTTTGAGCATCTTTTGGGGGAGCAGCAAAGAGCAGCTCTGAGCCATGCTGTGGTGCTGGCTGCACCCAGACACATCCATCATGGTCCACTGGATGGGACCATGCCAAGGACACCAAGGACAAGGAGAAGCCACCACTTCAAGGGTAAGCAGAAAT